AATCAGAAATAAAGAAAGAATCAAAGCAAGAATTTCTTGAGAATCATCTGTCAAGACCTATAATAACAGTAAGTGAATCAAGCTCGTCCTTCATAGAAGATGCAACAAGTATAAATTTCCAGCAATTACCTCATATAACAACTCTAAGTGAGTTTACTTGACAAAAGGTGATCTATTAATTTGTTTTTTAGTGAATACACCTTGCGAAAAGTGAAAAAGTCAACTTTTCTTTCCATGAATAGTATGATAATATAACTTTTGCTTTTATATTTTTGTTGATATGGAGCATGTTATGTGGATGAATAAGAAGTGATATCTTAATAGTTCTGAAGAGATCTCTGAAGGGGAAGAGTAGATTTCAGTGAGACATAGCATATAAAGTACAAAGGAACACAAAGGATGCTGCTGAGTTCACTGCAGGAAGTAGCTGTACCAGATCCTAACAACAAGGAACATTTGCAAACTGTCTTTCAGTCACAAAAGTAATATTTTCATGGAATAAAAGGTAGGAAGAATCCGATGATGTGATGAAGGCCTTGGTAGTTAAATGATCCAGATTACATCAGAGTTAACAAAGATCATGAAATAAAAGCATGGGACCAAAGGATATAGAAATACAGAGATAAATATTGAAAGTTTGACATTTCATGCCACTGGGTTTCAGTAATTTCATGGGATTGCTCAGCTATTCAAAAAGGGCAAAGATTCCAAAATTAATATTAATTTTCACTTTTCCTTTTGCAATTCCCCAAATCTCTGAAGCTGATCATAGTTGAAAGACTGGGTATCAGTACTGCAGCCTGAGTAGCCGTTTTGTCAATTCAAGATTTTAAAATGTAAAGATAAATGTAGGAGCTGACTAAATTTCACAGTGAGTGTAGAATGTCTGGGCATTAGTAGCAATTAGGAGAAGCTGATTATAAGCTCTAGAAAATCCAATTTGAAAAAGATGGCCAAAAGTAAATTTCCCATAAGCAGAAATAATAAGAATGTTTAAACATTACCAGATATGTTTTCAATTTTAATGCACCACAGACTTGAGCCCAAGTAGATGGAACCTGAGATGGTCTTGCAGCTGTACAATTTTCCTGATGTTGAAATTAATCTTTCTTTTGTCAATCTGAATTGATAAGGAAGCATTATGATCACATTAAGATTTTTAGAGAATAAATCTTTAGAAAAGGACCCAGGCACTTCTTTGGAAACTTAAAGATCCATTTGGAAGCCAACCTGTGTGACCTATTGTGGGGAACCTGCTCTATCCGGGGAGTTGGACTTAATGATGTCTAGGGATTCCTTCCAAATCCTGAAATTCTGTGATTCTGTGTTACTCTTAAAGAAATTTCACTACTGCTTGCATGACAGAATTGGGAACTAAGGGCAATTGATTGTTCTGGGAAAATAAAGAAGTCCTTCTTTCCTGGAAGTTCATCCTAATGAACTGACTTTATGGGTAGAAAATATATAATTTGCTTAATTTTGGGAGATGGCTTTTTTTTTTAAGTGAAAAAAAAAGGAAAAAAAAAAAGGCAACAAAGGATTTCCAATTAGAAGTAGTCTGACATAGTGCTTCCTATAAAGTCTCTGACACAAATATCATTTACATTTGTAAAGTCCAGGTTATGGTGTCAGGGTTCAAAAAACAGTGCCTATAGTTATATAGTTAAGATCACATTTTTTACACTAATTTTAATTAAGAGTTGTGATTTATATCACACAGAGCTCCAAGTCCTTGAATACCTCAGTGGATTGATTCCGAATAATCTCTACAAAAGCCAAAGGAATTGAAAGGGGAAGAGGAAAATACAAAGACACCTTAATACCAGCTGAAAATATTTCTCCAATGCTAACGAATGTTGTTCAGGTCTTTGTGGCCACAGACTTCACACCAACCCCCAAAGGAAAAAAAAGTCTCTAAAATCTCTCTTTTTCTTTGTCAAGCTGCAGCTGCCCAACCCTATCATAAACCTGTCAGAGTGGTCACAAATTCACCTTCCCAATACTTCTCTGTTTTTCTAGTTGACACCAGATTAGCATGACAGTCTAACAAGCGGGTCAAGCCAAAGAGAGAAACTTCTAAAAGGGCTCAGCAAGTTATATCGGCTCCTCATTCAATCCTGAAACCACTTTTCTGCAATTGCATTACAGGATTCCTAACAGTTTAAGGGTCATAGTAGCCAGGCTGCCTCTTTTGACTTTTAATGGTGATTGCAGAGAATGCTGTTCTTTTTCTGCATGAGGTGACTACCAAAGCCTAAGTGTAATATTTGGCCGCAAGGGAATCATTCCCTTCAGTGACATCTCACAGGCTTTGCACAGACAAAAACGGTCAGGAGAAAATCTAATTCCCAAAATTTGTAGGTGATATCACAATACTCAGGTTTGGTACTCCAAAGCCTGACTGAAAAAAAGAAAAAAAAAAAAAAAAAAAAAAAAAGCAGAAGAAAAATGAAATCAGCAGAATGGCTTAAGTTGGCAGCTGTTACTGAACTAAAGACTTGGATGGAGTATCAGATGCTGGCTTTAATGTTTTTTATATGATATACATGTTGCAGCTCTGTTATTATGGCCATTGCTGCAGAAATGCTAGACAATATGTAGTTACAGAAAAGAGATCCCTAAATAAACTCCTTGAAATCAAATCCTCGTTTTGCTTTCAGTCCCCACAGCTCAGTTATTGCTCCTCACTTGTGTGGCTCAAACAGAGGGTCCCTGGGGTCCTTGGATTCAATCCTATCCAAAATTTTGAAACTTGGTTTCCTTACATACATTGAAAATCCTCAAGCAATTTGCATGCCACCATCTCTTCTAAACCATGGCTCCTATCATGATTACTGTAGTCATCAGTAACCTCCCTTTAGTCCCTCCTCACTAGTACATAAATGTCTCTATAACTAATCTACTGAGAAGTGCTTGCAACATTTTTCCACTACTTTATCCAAGCGTATTTTATGCTCACACTCTTCTCTCCAGCTCCTCTGACCTTTTCTAGAGATGCTTTTGGCCTCCTGCACTTCACTGCACCCAGCTGCCCTCTTTCAGAACCCCTCATGCTGTACAACCTTATGGCATGCTTATGCTTTCCTCCTCTGTCTTCTCACATCTGTGAGCCCTCATCCCTGGTGCCCTTCTGTTTGGAACACTCACTTTCTCTTTCAGCTTTAACACCTACTTGTTCCAGGAATCCCACTGGCTGTTCCATCTCTCAGCAGCACCCACAAAGACCATTCTTTTCTGAGCCTGTTCATGCATGTTATGCCTGACTTTAGTTTGTACTGCTTAACCTACATCTGCTCTGCTCATTCCCACACACAGGCAATATTCCTGAGTGCAACTCTGCCATACCTGCAGTATACTCCAGTAATACAGTAATACTGCAGTAACTGCAGTATATTTTGAAAGATTGAATCTTGAAAGTACTTTATTGTTCATCATGAAAACTGTCAAAGAGGATGTGAGGAGCACCCTTAATCTAAAGCATACTGGAGGGAAGGGGAAGAAGGAGGGGAATGGGAAGGGAAGAAAAGACAGTAAAGACAGGGATCTGTAGTAATCTCTGTAAAAGGTAAAAAAGAGAAATGAAGGAGATAAGCATAAAGGAAATATTTAAAGTCAGGAAGACAGATCCTTCCCAGCAATGGAAACTAAGTATTTACAAATCCTTGCAATAAAAGTGACCAATTCTTTCACCCTATCTTAGGGGCTCATACTCATCTCACACCAGAAAAATGCACAAAGGTGAGCCTCTGAGTGCAAAGAGAGGAAGGTGCTCCAGAGTATGGCAACACAAATGCTCTATATGTAATATTAGAACCCTTCAGTCTCCTTGCTCCTTCCTTGCCAGCCTTTCACAGTGGGAACAGAACTGTCTACTGCTATGATTTAGGCCTTAGTTACACTAACATGGACTGAATTCTACAAGGCAGAAGGGCAAAATAACAAATTATTTAACTAAAGAACAATTAAATACTTGTTTACATTCATACAAAAGCTGGTTTCCATGCAAGACTGTACTTGTGCTCTCTCTGGCTGCTTTTGGAGTGCTGCATTGTACAAAGTGGAGACATGCCTCCTTTTAACCAAAATCTCTCTTTTGCTATTATACACTGCAAAGCCACAGGCAAGTGACTTTGCAGCTTTGTCCCTCAAACACGATACAGATGTTTATCACTGACACTTGATGGATGAGTTCAAATGGGAGAAGCAGGGACTCAGAGAAATGGAATCTTACTGATAAATATTTCACAGCATTGCATACTGCAACATATATCATCAGATCCCATTTGGCAGAATTGCTTACAGGTGATGCGTGTGTCAATTATTGTAATACTCCTGGCAATCTGAGAAACACAGATTGTAATTGATGGGCTATGTACTATTTTCCAGCTGTAGTGCAGCTCACTGCTATTATTTTCTTGTTACAAACATCTGTTCCAAGATGAAAGCACCTACAAGTGCTTCTGCTTCAAAAATTACAAGAGGTTAGTTTGTTAAACATTTAAGCTATGTAAACAAATACAGGTTTCATGCAAGACAGATTTGACTATGGACTGATTATTCTATCATAGCATTGCTAACTATTCCTACTGTGGCAAAACATTTCAAAAACAAGACATTCTCAGATGTATGCTCCTAAGTAAAATGCCACATGAAATTCAGTTCAGTCAGAAGCCCCTAGGTTTAGAAATAAAACTGATTTCAAAAGAAAAGAAGCATTTTAACAGTGTCATGGCAGTTATAGCTTATTCAGCAATAAGTAGATGGTTTCTTTTTAATTGCTCATGTACTTCATCAAACTCAGCCTAAGTCAGCCATGAAGGAAAACAACCACTAGCTGCTGGCAGCTGCCTAGCCTGTGCAAGATGGACATGGTTCTCACAGCCAGCAGATGGGGTCTTAGATCAGAGAAACCATCACCACAGTTGGCACAACCAGGTGCCCATGGCTGGCCTCCCTGTCACAGCAGAGAGGCCGAGGGCATGTTTCTGAACTACTCTTACCCCTAAAGGTGGTCTCTCCAGGTCAGGGTTGAGGCACATTGGTGGGGCAATGTGGGGAAGTTTGCACTGCTGCTGCCCATGCTGTACCTGCTCTATAAATAAATAGAGGACTTTAGTCTCCAGGACTGTCAGTTTGGCACCTTTCATGTGCACAAATGACATATTGTGGTTTTTTGTTTGTTTGTTTAGAAACAACCACCCAGAAAGTTATATGCAAAGCTTAGTATGGCGAATCAAGATAAATCAAATTTATTGCATGAGAGCACCTAAAATCCCACCTTCCATTTGCTCTCTTTTTCATGTTTTCTACTTGTTTTCTAATTGTGATAAGAATAAAAGTTATGGACCTCTTTCGGTGTTTCTTGATGACAACGGTTGCTGTTCCACCACAACTCCAATGCTGCCACCAAGCAGGCAAGTAGAAGGCCTATTGCTAAAATGCAGAAAACACCTGCAAAACTGTGCAGCTTGAGAGCCTTCCCATCTGTCTGTGCATTTGTGTGGCTATTCAGGTCACAACGTCCCATCCGTGGCCACCATTTTTGTTTAAGAACATCCAAATCTCCACTTTCTTGCAACTCTAAGATCCTGCAGAAATTTAAAAACATACACAAGTATTACATTCAATTACATCTTTTTCCACATTTTTTGCACTCTTTTCCTGTTACATGAACTGCCTTACAATTCAAAACTCTGTCTTGCAAGCCCCCATCCCCATGCAGTATTAATCTGAAACTCATTCTGCTCACAACAGCAGGCAAACTTCACTGAGTAACTTTAGAGGAAGGATGACTGTCAGAAATTTCATTGCAAGGGAAGAAGCATTCCCAAGGGAAATCACCATATTCCACAGTTTGTCATGGCTGGTCTGGCTACATTCAGCTGCAGCAGCTGGTTCCACTAGTGAAATACGCAGCCCATTTCACTGCTGCTCTCCCACAGTAATTTTAAAATCATGGGAGACTAAACATGCTACTATTTGTGCACCACTTCATACAAATGTGCTTAAGCAGCGACCGACTTATTTAGTTCAGCAAATGCAGTTTATTCAAAAGGATTTTACTTCAGTGCTGTTACTTCATGCTTGAATTACTTTGTTAACAGTTGCTAATTAATCATTGTTTTGCCTCTTGTGAAGTGTCCTTTCTCTCCAAGAATGATTCATTTTGGATTTGGTTTGATAACTATTTTTGCTGTTTACTAACAACCCTTTCTCTTTGGTTATACAACTGGAGCTTTACTCCCTCTTATAAAGAACAAGTGAGATGGGGAAATCCTGCTCCAGCTTCCTGTCTGGAGCAGTGCACCCACTCACCTTCTGCTAGGGCCACGCATGCCTGCCCACCTGCATGTCTTCCATTCAGTGTACATGCTGACATGAAAAAGATGCTCATAGCTCATAGACCACCAAATGGCCACAGATACTGTAGTAATGCCATGCAATAATCAACAATTCTTGTTTTCCTGTACTATTGTGACATTCAGCATGCCTCTCCACCCTAAAGGATAAACTGAGACATTATTACTTGCTTACTGTATGGAAGGACATTGTTTCATAGCCTGAAAAACATATAAATCAGGAATCTCTCTTTGATCTCTCCCCTAGCTCATACAGAGCTCTGGGAACTCTGGTCCCTTTTCTGACAGAGCCGGTGCTACTCAGAGATGTGAAGCCACACACCATCTCCACTCCCTCCTCCCTAAACAGAATTACACAGAGCAGAAGTAGCAGCTTTGTTGAAGACTGAACTTGTAACCTTTCTGCTGTCACTGTAGGAAGAGAATTAAATTTATTCAGCAAATTGTCACTGTCAAAATTGAAGTGAACCATCAATGGGATGCCATGCTGGTTGCAGAGAAGAATCCTACAAAATGAACTTTGTTTTGGTTTACCTCTGGGAGAAAAGATCTCTGTAGGGGCTTCCGTGCTGGAGTGCAATTCCATATCCTTTGCTGCTGATGCTATTACCAATGACTGTCACAGAGCATTCATCATCTGTCAGCGCAGCATATTCCACCACTGTCACATCCCACAGGAATGCATAATTTCCTTTCTTTGCCTGTAAATACAACACAAACACAACAAAATCTAAACTAAACCACATTTTTAGATAGGAGAGAAAAAAAAAAAAATAAGCCAAAATAAAAAGCCCGATGCTGGTACTTCACCAGGTCACATCTATAGACCTCCAGCATCTTAATACATTTTTAAGTCTTCCCCCATAACATTACCTCATCTATGCTTTTCCCAGCAGTACATCATCTACTTCAAACCTCTCTAAAATGTCTTCCATTTTTAATAGAGAGAGAGAGCATAGGATGACATAGCCTTCTGTAAGTTTAGGCAAGGCTTACATAACAGGTAATTAATTATAAATCAAAGCCTTTGCCTTAACTGATGAAATTTGATGTATGTTTTGTAGGAGACATGGATTAGCAGGAGCTCCATACATTTATGTAACTAGACAGGTACAGGATGAGCACTTAGTGGTGTTCCCTAATCATTGCAGTCACCAAAATGGAAACTTTACAGATTCCCTCAAGTAAACGTATAAGTGAAAGAAGTGCCCTCCAAGAGCTGTGTTAGTCCTGTAACAAAAAAATCACACACAAAGCTTAAAAAGAATTCCTTTTTTTTTATTCTTTTTTCTTTTCCCCCCCATAGACAAGAATAAACCCCAGCATCTCTTGTCAGCTCAGTTTTGGGACAAATATTGTTCTATTTTAGCACACGTTCATGCAGATGTCCTTAAATGTCAGCCTTAATTGGCATTCTAGCCAATGTCTGCATGCAGTGAATATGATGAATGTAAATCACCTTACTTAACATAAGATGTAAGAAAAATGTCTGGATAGAAATTCAGTAAGGAAAAAAGTGATCATTTTGTTTGTTTAAAGTAATCATCAGTTTTCCAATAAATTTAAGTATTTAAGATTTTTAGTCTCAAGTGAATATACAGAGCACAAAAGAAGAACAGATGGATGGGAACAGCTAATGCAAATAAATGAATAATCATGACTGCAGATTTCCAAGACATTTTTTTTCTTTTTAAGAGACAAAAAAAAAAAATAAATGACAAAGGCCCACCTTTGGCTGATTTCTTTAGGTCAAAACAAAGCAAGATAGGAAGCTGAAGTCTGGAAACTGAATCATCAAACTTTCTTTGCCAATGGCTGCAGTGCTGACGTTATTCCATATATTTTCCATTTTGTGTAATCTCAGTGTATGGGAACTGCTGAGTCACGGCCTGAACCTCTGATTAATCACCTGAGGTGAGCCATGAGTCAGCCAGAGGAGCACAGGTGAAGGCAATTCAGCTGTGCTGCCGGAAGGGGTGGAGCCAGGCTCCACCCTTCCTAGACCTATTTAAGAGCTGGCTACCAGAGGGGAAGGATCTCTTCTGGAGATCCCCTCTTTTGGTATCTTCTGGTGAGCTCAACCCAAGGGTAAGCTCTTCCATTTATTCTCTTTTGTGATCGTTGTCTGCTTTGCCTTACTCTCTTGATTATATTGCAATTATAACATCTTGGTTATACAAAATTATAACATCTTGGTTATACACTCAGTTAAAGAATTGACCTGTAAGCCTATAAGGCTCACTAAATTAATTTCCTCATTTGAGTAACTAAGTTAATTTCACCATGCTTTAGTATAAATCATAGCTTTCTGAAGTCCTTGACAGTTGCTTAAACATGATAATAAATCAGATGGGTGAATTATCTTGTAACGGATAGAATCGAGGGAAATAAAACTGAAAAGTATGCTTTTGGATTTTCTGTAAATTACTTGCCACAATTCACCTCCTTTTCTCTTTTACATTCTGTCTGCATCGATGCAATCAAAGACCCCCAAATTCTTTTTCTTCTGAACTACACCAGAGTAGCAATACATTATAGCCTTTCTTTCTGGCAAGATTCAAATGATCCTGTACTGACCACTTTGAAAACAGATTTTTTAAATGTATACCAGCACTGTAGGTTTGGCCAGTCAAGCTCCTCTTTCTCTCCTGCAATCTCTCGGTCAGTTCAGGGTAACAGTAAATAACGTATGTTGCTTCAGACAGCTATTGCTAGCTCAAAACAATCATTTAAAGCTAAAACTCAGCATAGGGACTGCAGGATACAAGTAGGAGCCACAAGATCCTACTGTTAAACTATATATTGGTTTAACTAATATGACTAATTATACAAGCTTGGTCACAAAAAAATCTCTCTCAAATGGTACTGCATGACTTCCACATCTGTATTCCAGTTCCCCTGGCCATCCACCTGACTAGTACTGGTGTTGGAAAGGAGGAATCAAGAAATAAATCACTGCTTACTGTATGTGACAGTCAGAAAAGGCTTCAAATCTATCAACACAAAGATGCATTTAAAAAAAAAAAAAAAAAAAAAAAAAAAGAAAGGAAGGAGATTCCTCGGGGTATTTAGCTTATATTCAGATGGTAAACTGCACTCTTGGAAGCCTAAGATGTGCTTCTCAAAGGAACTTTCTGAATGGGCATGTACCTGGAAATAACCATGATGTTAGCAGCAAGCCTCTGCATCTTGCCCTCTGCTCTTCCTCTGATGGACTTCAACAATTCTCATCTTATGTTTCCACACCTGTGAGGCCTCCTACCTGCTCGGGAGCAATGGGCATTCCTCCCACTAGTGCTCCTGGCTGCACATCTCAGGTTTTACCCTGTGGTAAACAGTACACAGGCTCTTGCTATCTACAATGCAAGACTGTGTGCAAGTGTTTCTGTGTTAAAAGCCACAGTTACAGGACCAAAGACAACAGCTTTTTTTTTTTTTTTCCCTATACAGAATTTGTTCAAAATCTGTTATTACTAGAGAACAAAAGCTTGCCTGGTGTACACACAGAAAGAAGACCCAGAGAAGATTTCACCTATATCACAGTAATAAAATGTCTTTGATTTCTTGTTGGTTTCTGGGTTGTTTTTTTTTTCTTCTTTCTTTTTTTAATAGCTGGATCTTTTAGTTGTTTCAGAATTGTTCCAATAAATCATCTTTTCAAATTAACAGTTTACAAAAGAAGAACGACAACACATCCTACATTCCTCATCTTTTTCTTAGTAATACTTGAGGAACACAGCCTTCCTCAAATATTCGATTTCAATTATAAGGCAGTGTCTAGAGAAAATCACATTATTGATTCTACCATTCAAGCCTCAGTTTTCTGCACTTCATTTTATGTAGAAGAACTCTGTACACTGACTTCCAAGGTTAGACAGCAGATCTTTTGACAAGGTCTACTTCTCTAGCATTTGCAACATTGCTGTCCTAAGTTACATCCTATGAATACAAGTGGTCAATGACAAGTTTACTGAGTTTCTCTGTATCAATTTAGTATTTTTATGACAAACAATTCTACCCAGTGGCATCCATTGAGCAGTATTTTTCTGATAGACTGTACATTTCAACATAAACAGGAATCTGAGTTTTAAACTCTTAATTATGTGTATTCTTAACTTCCAGAAATACTGAACGTGGAACTGCTTCCCCTCTCTAATTGTCAAAAACCGACTTCCCAAAGATTCCTTTTTCCTCAGGGAAGATTCTTCTCTTCCAAAATCTCTTCCTCTTGCAGATCTTTCTTTTCTTAAGAGTAGCAATCTCATACTATTAGCATGTTCGTTGCACAGAAATTTTCCTTATGACTAAACAGTAAGTTCCTATCTAAATTTGGCATGCTTCATATCCCTGTAATGGCTGTTGTGGCTGTTAGGTGAAGGCAGACAAGCTAAACTATGAGTGACACTGTGCACTGGCCCATGGGATGTATAAGCAGGAAACATAGGCTTTTTTAATGACACCTTACACAGATGTATCTATCCATGCAACTGCATCATGACTGCAGTACATTAAAGCTCCATATTCTCATGCTTTTTGCATTCACAGCCTAGCCATTTCAAGCTTGAACTATTTGTTTTTGGGTCCCAAATTTTCTAGGATCAGACACCACTGCAAAGAAAATATAGATAAAAAAGACAGTAAAAGGGAATGTGGTAAATACCAGCTGAGAATAGGTAAGATAGAGAAAGAAAGAATGATTGAAATGAAACACAGAATAGTAAGCTACAGTTTAGGCTTTTAATTGGCTTTCATATTTTGCTCCTTTGCTATGGCCTTTTTGTGACTTTCAGCACGCAGGCACACTGCAGAACAAAACAGAAATAACTCAGTTAAAAGTTTCAAAAAACTCTTTCATAGAAATTCAGCCAAAGTGGTCATACATTCCACCCAGGTTGAACTTCTGTGGCGGTTAACACCAAAGATAGCAGATTTATCTTCAGTTTGAAGAGATTGAGGAAAACAAATTTCAGAAGAAAAAAGAAACTTGCATTAAAAATGCCTTCTTTGCAATCATCAAAAATGAAAAGACCAAGGAAGATTGTTTCCCTGATATAATAAGAGGGGCCATAAAGATAACAGTAATACTTCGAAAAGCAGTAACCAATTTCATTATGTTACTCTTCAACATAGAGGGAGATGGAAGAATATATTTCAAAGGGTCCTGTCTTACTGTTGGTAAAGTTATGTATTTTCAAAGAACATGTGGTAAGAACTAATAATACTTTAAAAAAAGTTGAACTTCAGCTTTATCACTGACAGGCCTGTGATTCATCTGCAACTTATGAAGAAGCTCCCACACTGGAAAAAAAAAGTACAATAATGCTACATTCGTCATTAATCTATTGCCAAAATGGAGTGTCACTGTAGATGATCCCATTATATACCTGGTAACACAGAAATATCAAAGAGTGACCTTCACATTGCTATTAGAAGAATAGTTCAAAAACATGCTTGGATAATATTTATTTTCTATTTCAAAAGCGCCTTAGAAGAAGCTGCACAGTTCTAATAAAGAAAAAAGTTGCCACTTAATCCTGTTGAAATTACTTAAAATTAATATCATTAGAAGCTACTACAGGATGCAATATATTTGGGCTTTAAGGAAGCATTTGCTTCTACTCCAGAGGCTGATCATGGTCAAAAAATGAAGAAATTTATGACGATCCATGAAAATATATGGATGAGCCATAATAATTCACAATGCAAAATCTAGTGTGGACAGTAAATCACAGGAAAAAATATTTCAACAAAAAAATCCTCTTTATGGAACTATTAAATTACTTGCAATCTCAAAATAAAAATGAAGAGAAGTGTCTGTTCAACAACAAAAGATCTCATTTGATGTTTATTGTTTGTTAAAGGAGAGAAACATTTGGAAGGAAGTAAAAAAGATAGGAATGCACTTGTACTGTGCTACTGCATAAATCAATGATACATTCATATTTTGTACTATACTTTCTTTTGATCATTGCATCAAAAGCAATATACAGGAAGAAAAGAACCAATAGAACCAATTCAGAACTATTTTGGCACCAAATTGACCACACAGAAGAACAAACTGTCTCCATTAAAGGAAGACTGTTAAAAAGCCACAAAAGCAATTTCATTCTCTCATGTGTATCTTTGTATATATGTACATATATATGTGTGTGCGTGTATATAAATATATAGTGAGATACATGAGAGTATACACGGCACATATCACTTTGTTCTTCCAAAGCAAGAATGGCTGCTCACAATGAGAAATGCTGCAAGTTACTAGGTATGTTGTGATAACTAATAATTACCCTCAATAAATTATTGCCATGGGGTATTATGTGAACACCTCATTCATATTTGCAGATACGTTAGGAATATATGCAATTCCCCTATCAATGTCAATCTGAGATGACATGGCAAGAGCTATGCACAGCGCACTTCCGGGACATTCTGGCTGCAGCTTGACCCAAAAGGAAACTTTCTATACAACAGAATTAGTCAGTCTTGTTCCGTAGTACCAGAAAACTCAAGTGGCAAAATAGCGCTCTGCATGGACTTGTGATTTGTCTGGCAAATTCCTCTTACTCTAAGCGGAGGCATTTATGAATAGGTGGATATTTTACATCTGCAATGACTATTTTCAATGCCCATGGCAGTACAACAAAAGCAACTTGCCCCCACAGCTCTGAAATGTTTTTCTGCCACTTATGTGACTTCGCAGTGCATTAATGCTGTCTCTGTGGCCGTACTTGTGTTGCAAAAGCTGTGCTTTGACAATGGGAGATGGTCACTGTGGCTACAGGGCTGTGCTATGTCTGAAAGTGACCTCTTCCATGGCAACCAAAAGCTTTTGTGGCATTCAGGACATTCTTCCATTATTGTCTGTTTGGTTTTAGTCAGTCAAAGGGAGAAGAAACATGTCTGGGAAATGGAGAGAGGAAAATGGAATTGAGACAAAGACTGGAAATACCTGCCTATTGCATGAGTAAGCAGTACTCTCCTGTTTTGCATTGAAGAGGCTTTTATTTTTTTCTTACTTAACTGCAGTTGAACTGTGATGCTGTCTGAAGAAAATGGAGAGCAAGAGGAGAGAAGAAGTAGTTGTTTTTTTTTTTTCCATTGTACCAGGCAAGTCTTTATTCAGAAAATGCGTTAGGTATCTTTATACGCCAGAGGAATTTAGACTTTCCTTTTCCTATAAAGCATTTCTAAGGTACATGTACATCTCTTTCATGCAGCAGCACGTGTTTAGAGATATAAAAAGTCTGATTTCTTTGGCCGATACCATTTCTTCTTTAGGAAAACAGAGTTTCTAGCCAAAATATTTGATATGGCTGACTTGTCTGTTTTTTCAAGGAGCTCAATGAGTTAGCAAGAACGACATTTAAACTATAAACACAAACGTTTAGTTGACAATGTTATTAAATACTGAGCTCAATTTACGTGCCTAATTAAATAGCAGCCTTGGTCAGCTTTGGGAGCTGAGATAAATTCAGTTATTGTTAACGTTAATGGAATGAGCTGATCGAGTTATATAAAAATCACCCTACAATATTAAAATCAAACTCAGTATGAAAAATTTAACGTTACAAGAGACAGAGCTGCCAGCTCCATACAGACTACATAGTTGGTAGTCCAAACAGCCTGCCAGTCCACAGTTACATTTAAGGTTTAGGCAAATCTAGCTACAACAAATGGCAGCATGCAATAGGCTTATGGAAAGAGAGTATTTATAGCTTTACTGCTGGCAGTAAGAATGGTAACAAAACAAACAAGGGACAAAAAAAGGTAATTTGTTGTGCTTTTTTTCTATGGTAAACTGTTTTACTTATATATTGTTTTTAATGTCATGCTACATAGATTAGAACACATTGGCACTACTTATGTCTCTGCTAAGAAAGTCTTGAAACAGAGGCTTCATTTGCATAAAGTGACAAGCAAATTAAAAAAAAAAAAAAAAAGAAAATCAAATCACTGCAGACTTTTCTATAGCCAGGGTTCTACCTTCTACCAGAGGAAGAAAGTTTAATTGAGCCAAGTGCTCAGCTGGAAGGCGGGAGAAAATGCAGGGGGAACCAAAACTATTGACAGAATACTCCTGTACTGGAAAAGGCAAAAGTATGTTTTCCCCAAAATAAGGATTTTATCCAGAAGTCACACAAACAATTGGGAATCTTATATCAAAGGACTTTGATTCAGGAAATAGGATGGCTTATATTAAGATGTTCAGCCATGCTATGGTTATGGTGTTGTAAAAAACAGTATTTTTTTTTTATTTTTCCTCACTGACAGCTTAGAAGTTGTTTCAAATATTCAAAAAAAAAAACAAAAAAAAACCCAAGCTTCAAACATTTTCTTATTTCTCATTTATAAAAGCATAAGGAACTTGTAATAAATTTATTCCAAATCACTGTGTCATTGACAACAGAATAATCCTGATCTAACAATCACAACTTTAATAATAGCTGTTTTCCTGCTCTGTTAAAAAAAAAAAAAAAAATCAATTAAAAAATAGACACTTTTCTCTAAAGGAAAATCACATTAAAATTACACTGGCTACTTCTGCACACCTGCCACAATATACTTCAGGACACATGCAGTTTGCTGCTATTTATTATCTGCTTCTGCTAAGCTACAAGATGGAAAGCAGAGAAGAGCAGCAGACTAAGGGCGAGAAAGTGTGGGCCTGAACTTAACCAGGGCTGTTTATAACAGAAGTCAGCACAAGGATGTAGAATCTCAAGCTACTATATATACCTTCATTATTACAACAGTACTCAGTTTCATCAAAAAATCTGAGAGAAATAAAAATTAGGTGAAAGCATTCTGACATGTGAAAGAGCATGTGCTTGTTAAGTCTCGAATAAACAAAGAAATTTGGCGTGAAAGTTCTGTTCTAAGACACATTAGTGGATTTTCATTCATTCCTCATGTTACCAATACTTACTTTAATTCAAAGCAAATTAAAAAAAAAAAAAAAGAAAAAAGAGCAAAGGACAAGTGTCAAAATCTGAATAATAAAAATATCATTGAAGATGGGTATTGCCAAAGCTGCCAAGAAACCTGTAAGTTTTACAGCCAGCTCCAAAGGAGGATTTAAATACTGGAGATTCCAGCAGAGCTAAAGTACTTTAATTCAAAATCACGACCTCACAAGATGCCTTTTATCTGGCAGTTACTGAAAGGAACTTTATGTAAGGATATTTTTGTTTAAAGTTACGATGTAATTGCATTAATGTGACTCAACAATATTAACTCCACGCAAACTAATTTGATACAGCACAACAATTAAATAAAGAGCACTGTAATCCAGTCTTACCTTCCTGATGCCTTCAGAAGGGTTCGATACACAATTATCTGCCCCATTATTCTTACTTATTGTCCTCCAAAGTTCAGCAAATGTGTTATCCTGCTCCAGAGGGTTTGTTCCTTTTGCTTTAAAGTATTCATATACTGCTGAGTCTCTGACTGTACCGTAAGATATATCCATTTGTTTAGACAGGTCCTGAAATGTTCTGAAATTCAAGCAATATTGAGATATTAGTGAAACATAAAATGCTACTGAAATTTAATTAAATGATTTATTTTTGTCTTCAGTCGGAAAGCATTTATCAATACCAGGCAATACTTGAGTATCTCTCCCTTTCATCATAAAGGAAAACCAAAGAGTAATTGAATTCAACTGAGATCATGTGAACTTAGTCATACCTGAGGTTTTTTTCTTTGTTTGTTTGGTTTTTTAACCTTAATAAAGATTTTCTGGGTAGATAATCCATGTTAAATATTATCCCAAGTTTGCACAGAAAGGGAGTCCATTACAGACATACCCCAGTGCAGGAAAAGGTTGTAAATATAAACTGTCAGCCACCTTGGCACCACCTCACAGAACTCAGTGGAATTAGTTGGAACTTATACCAATACTCCACCTGACTCCAAATCAATAAGACTTTTTAAAACAAACAAATAAAAGCCTTGGTTCCAATTTCTACCATGTCCCTCTCCCTCTTTTCTTCACAGCCTCTGGTAAAACAGACATTTTTCATTCACACAGAGGTCTAACTTTCATTTACTCATCATACCACCCTGGAAGTGTAAATGGGCCTCAACTTGAGTGACTGTGAATGCATCATTTATTTTCAAATTGTACTGAATGTAATTCACTCCTGTTTTACAGCCTTTTCAGCACAGAAAGGTGTAAATCACTGCCTGTGTCACTGAGAACCAGGCCAAGTTTCAAAACATTTGAAGCAGAATCAAGTCAATTTTCTATTTTCAGCCACCAATGTTTGCTCCTGTGTCCTCTTCCTTTGTTCTCACATCTCACTTTTCTGTACAGGTACAGAGTGGCAGCACGGGCTAAACTGTATCTCAAATTATGACATATATATATTTATGTCTCATAAATGCATAACCTCACGTAAGATTTATTTCAGATGCTTCTCATATGAACTACCAATTAACTTTAGCTGAGATCAAACTAAAGTCTCCCATCCACTCTACCATCCTCCCATCACATCACCTTCAGGCCTTCCGAGTTTGGTTCCCAAGGAGCCCCTTTACCTGGAGGCACCATGTGAAGCTGCCAGCTCCATCCCCAAAGCCGCAGCTCAGCAGGGTTGCCTCTTCTACCCTTACAAACACCCTTCCAACTCACACACTGCTTCTAAAATTTTAAGTGGTTTAAGTTCTTAAATTGTGTTAAGGACTTTTTATCATTTTAAGCTGCTAAGCAGCTTTCATTAAGACTGTGAACAGTTTTTTTGCACACTTGTGGGTTTGCGCTAACTCCAGGAGTTGCATCAAACCCCAGATATGTTACTTCCCTTGCTCCATATACACCACTTCAGTAAAACAGAAATGAACACCCTGTAGGTTGCCAGATATTCAACAATTCTAATAAAAAATGAGAGAATTTGTATCAGTCCTCTCCCTCTGTTTAACAGTCCTGAAAGTTATATTCTGATTTCCTAAATGTTTCTGGTACATTTCATTGAACAGGACCATTTTTCCTCCAATTTTGATCTAAATGATTACATGCTACATTTACTTCCTTCTTTATTTTTTAGAATAAGCTTCATCATATCACATGAAATTGCTCACATCCTGGGGATGGATGATCTGACTGTTAAAAGACACATTTCAGTCTATTGTATGTCCAAATGACTAAGAAAGGTGCCGAATACACATGCAGGGTTTCTGTGGCAACCCTTTTAACACAGTCTGCTGTCTAGATTTCAGTGCCTCTAGAAGCACATACAAGGTAGAAGCACATTAGCAGCAGCATTTTTAGCTATTGTACTTTAATGTGACTTTCAGCAGATAACAACTTTACAAATGTCTACTGTTCTTGCTGTCATTCTTGTTGAAAATGTAAGCATTCAAAAAAAGCAAACTGTAGCTTTCATAATGTTTCATAACGTGGATCCCTTCTACTGCCTCTGCATGGGAACTTTGACAGAAATCTGCCTCTTGTTTTAGCTAAATTATACTTTATTGACAATCACTGCTTTTGTTTTAGCTAAATCACACTTTATTGACAATCACTACTTTTGTTTTAGCTAACTCGCACTTTATTGACAATCAGTACTGTACAAAATCACAGTACATCTTGCTTTTCGAAAAGCACTTTTCTTCAATTCTCTCAGCATTGCAGTGAGCAAATTCTGGGTATAAATCAAGTGCTTTGCTGGCCCAATAAGCAGGTAAGAGGCGGCAGGGAGGAAAGCCCAGCCTTTGCTTGGGTGTTGCATGGAACACAACTATGATCCCTTTAGTTGGCAGAATTTTCCTACAAGGATAATAAAGAATACTGCATGTCCTGAGGATTATGCACATCTTTCCTGCAGTGCCCTACTTGATCCATTGTAAGAACTGCTCCCGACACAGGAGATTCTCTGTATCACTACTGAAAACATCTTTTGAGCAAGTCAGAAGGTCTCCAAAGGACACAGCCAGGGTCACAGCAGGTAACCAAGCTTGCGAGTGGCTCCTGCAGCATAAATTCATGCAGATGGTGAATGTCAGAGAAAGAAAGTAACCCTATGTCTGTACCAAACGGACCACTTAGCCAGAACTATCTCAGAAACTATCTTGATGGTCTGGACAACAGTCGTTATTCAGTATAAAAAAATTCTTTTACTATATTTCTGCACTGAAATCTCCTGTCTTATAGGATGAATTAAGATAATCACAAGTGCAGATTTCACATATTTTTCACATATTTATACTTTTATATATTAGCACTGTGCCATTCTCTACAGGCAGCTACTCTTTGTTCCTAGACTTCTTCATTTTGCTGAATAGCCATTAGCAGAACCCACCTTTGTTTGCTACTCAGATTCTTGGCTCACGTTCCTGCGGTAAAGATTTCATGCATTTAATAAATAAAATTATTTGCAACAAAAATGTGCAGCATAACAAGACGCTCCATTAACCTTACCACCTCAATTATTGGATCTCACAACCCATTAAGGACTCTCTGTAAGTGTGATTAAAGATAAAGCTAGTAAAGCAGAAAAAGCCAATGTTCCTCACTTACACTTATAGGAGCTGACCTTCAATTTGTAGATAAATACATCCACTGTGTGATTACTGTAACTGGCAAGTACATGTAAACCAATTGATTTAAGTAAATGTATCTGTGGTCCATCCAAACAGAACAGAGTTACCAGCTGAAATACTTAACCAGTGTAATAATATCTGCTAGATAGATAGGACAATTGATACGTAATTCCCAGTGGAGTAGCAATTACTTCAAGTGGAGTCAACTGAAAACTGTTTGTTTCAATTTTTAGAAACATATTGACATAAACCAAATGCTGTGGAATAAACATTTAGGCAATAGCTGTACTAGCATTTATAATTAGACCATTAGAAATAACTGACACAATAAAAATATTGGTTAAGTTGTACTGTTTGGAAATGCTTTCCTACTTGTAAGAGATTCATAGAGCTGTAGATACGTAACCAAAAAAGGTTCTGCCAGCATAGGTTGATTTGACTCTAGAGGTGCTATAAAGACTTTCTGGATGAACAGTATGAACAAATCTTATCTAAGGGACAGACTAAACCTGTCACCAGGTGCTTGGAAGTAACTGCTGACCAATTTACTCAACTCGAATACTGCAGCCTCAGCTGTTCATCCAAAACTGCCTCTCACGATTGTTAATCACTATCAAAGTAAATAACCCCAAAACACTAACAAAAACAAAATAACAGCAACAAAAACCCACAAAAAAATAAGCGAACTTTCCTTTCAAAATTTTTTTTAAAAATCTTTTTTTTTTTTTTTTTTTTTTTTTTTTTTAAGGCAAAAAATATTTATTTACTGAGTTTTTCACCTTCCTAATCCTTTTCTTTTAAGTTAGGAGAATGTTGCACATCTGGAATCCTATGTGTAAATTCTGTGTCTGTTAACAAGATAACTATGTAATAATGTCATGAATTCTTCTATGCCACTGTAAAAAAAAGTAGTATTTATCTTGATTTCAGCCTTAAAGAGACCATAATGGCAATAGTGGCAGCTCCTTGATTTAGAGGTAATTTCTCATTAGTATTCACCACTGCAAATATTTTAACACTGAAACTGTTTGTATTTTTCCAGTTTGCTATTACTTAAGGAAAGTTAGCATTTTAGTAGTTTCTGAATCCACAGCATTATGTTTAAAAAATGATGCAGTATTTTTCCTGCCTAGCTCCTGTTTGCTCATCTGCACATGAACTATTAGAAATAATATAGGTTAAGATTAGACATAAGAGTGGGCATCAGCACTCTGCTGTGTTGTGAGTACATTTCAGAATAGCCTCTCCCTTTGAATTACTGCATATGTTTGGAAAAACAATACAGAACAAATAATTCCTCCCAAGTAAATAAATCAATTTTCTTAAATAATATTAATCCCTAAATCACAGCATGCTTTTCCACATTTGCCTGGGAAAGTTATGTTCTTATTTTACCTAGGGATGCCAGCACCCTAACATCATTGCTCAATGCAGCATAATATTCCAGGTGACGGCTGCCATTAAGATGAAGCAACCTGGAGAAGATGAGAGTTTTAAGCTGCTTTACCAAAATGGAGCACCTTGGAAATATATACAAAAATATACTACAAGTTCTACTTTTTAAATACCTTGAAATAACTTTATTTCAATTTTTTTTTCAAAGCCCAGGAATTGATTATATGTACATAATTAAGTACAATTGCAAATTCTAACTATAAGGGCTTTTCAACAACATTTCAGGCTCTGGGCAGCCTGGTTTAGAGATTGGTGACCCTGCCTGTGGCAGGGGGATTGAAACTAGATGATCTTTGAGGTCCTTTTCAACCCAGGCCATTCTATGATTCAATGAACATTTACTGGAGGAAAATACATGTTTTACATACTAGGAAATAAAGTTTACACATCAAAATAAAGATAAAAGTAGCTGAATTGATTTGACCACATTACACCACCAGGGTAAGTGCAAGAACTACCTATGAGTTGAAACCTAGCATATACAATCCTATCTGAAAAG